TGTGGCTACACCGTAACAAGAAGCCACTACGTGGCAGGATTGCCAGTAGTAATGCATAATAACTAGGTTTTGCTATATTAATTAGGTAACACTATAGTGATTAGGAAAAGTTAAGGTTTCAGACATTGGCGGCTCTGCCGCAACTAATACGGTTAAAGGCAGTTTCGTTTAGAACAGAAGTGTTCATTTACCTTGGTAAAGGCTTTGGTTATTGGAAGTAGCGGATTGCGATCCGCTGCACTCGTACTGATTCTTGTAAAAAACGTTAGGTCGGTGACCTTAGCTTAGTTTCCTTTAAGCAAAGAGCTACGTCAGCCCCGCTGCAAATACATTATGAAATCAACTTGTAACTTAGATAACGCTGTCTCGATAAACGCACGACTATATGCACCATAGCTGCTTGATGAAAAGACGATCAAGAAGAAGCTAGACAGTGGGGTCATTAACACAGAAAAAGCTTCTTGATAACTATGAGCCATCTCACAGGTTCATCAATATCTTGTAAGCTGAAACTTTATTCGTTAATTCAAACTCAGCAGGCGATGTGGCAAATGCCTGTGAACAGCAAAGTGCCGCATTCATACTCTTCAGGCAATCTGTATTAAGCAGAGACGGTTTGACTAGTTGTTATACGTTGAAAAACGCGTTTAAGAAATATATTTCGAGCTTCAAGACTTATGATTTAGGAAGTTGTTCTCCGTTCCCGCAAAATTGTTTCTATCACCAGAAAATACCATTATTCGACCTGGAGTTTTCTTTGCAATCTATAAATTAGAGCCTCTCCATTCTACTAAATTTACGAGCCTTAATTTTCACTATAATCCTTATTGTTGTGTTCATCGTCGTGCTGATTACTCTGTGCTTTCGTCATTGCCTTTGCTGCACAAAGTTTGCGCTCCACTTTAACGCGCCGTCTATCAGTTCGTGATAGCAATTTACACGCGGCTGTCAGATGCTTCACAGCTTCGCTCCAGACCTCATTCGGCATTAAAACGCTATCCGCATAAATAAAGTGCGTTTCCCAGTTCTTCGGCCGCAGCTGAAATGAGCGCTGGAATGCTGCAACTGCCTGCTGAAGATCTCCCAATGCTGCATATATCCGGCCGTACGTGCACATCAGAATGCTCCAACTAGTTTTTTCGTGTTCAGGGACTATAGACAAAGCATTTTCAACAATGGTTTTGGCTCGATCTGGGTTCAGCGGCAGCTCTAACAAGGCACGCATATTCCAAATTGAGGCATCTGAAGAATCGACCATCAGTGCCTTTTCTAATGCTGAGCGAGCAGCCGGAATTCGACGATTCCGCTGCTCGATTTTAGCCAGCTCAATGAGCAGCGGTACATCATTGGGTACATGCTGGCTTGCCATGGTGACTGCTGACCGTGCTGCCTCATAATTTTCGAGTTTGGCTTCGACGCGTGCCAATGCGCGCCAGGACTCAACAGCTGTCGGCTGCACCTTCGTGGCCTCTTCGTAAAGCTCTCGTGCGTTGCCGAGCTTACCATGTTGTTCTTCGAAACTTCCGAATGCTTGAAGTATCGGACCAGTATGCTGCAGACTTTCTAAAGCTTTTTCAAAGAGTTTACGAGCATAATGCATTTGACCGCGCTTTTGGTACAAGATAGCCAGCGACATCATACTCGGGACGTGGTCAGGATGCTGCTCCAGAGCCGTTTGGTACAGCCTCACTGCGACATCTTCGTTGCCTAACTCTTCCTCCATTTTGGCATACGAGTTATATGCTGCTGGCTCTACGTATAGTCCGCCGTCAATGAGTCGGCGGTACGCACGTCGTGCTTCATACACATCACCGAGCTTGTAATGCGCCAAGGCACCGAGAAGTATAAGCCACTTATGAGTCGGAAATCGTTCAAATGCAGATGTAATCACCGCCAACGCATTTTTGTAAAATCCAGCATCGTATTCTGCTTTCGCCCATGCATGCCAAACTTGGCCTGTCGCACGAGGATTTGATACAGCACTTTGAAAGATTTTTCGCGCCAGCCCGATATGCTGACACTGAGCCTCAAACACAGCGAAAGCCTGCATGATGAGAACGTCCCTGGGATGATGCCTGAGAAGGTCTTCAAATTTTTCACGAGCTTTATCTGGGTGTCCAGCTTGAGCTTCCCATAAAGCCATCCCAAGTCCTGCCATTGGATTCTGCGGGTCTGTAGCCAATATAACTTTAAAAATCCGTTTCGCTTCCTGCGAATTGTTTACTTCCAATTCCATTGAGCCCCAAGATGTCCATAGTTCGGTGTGATAGGAAATTTTCGAGGCTTTCGAAAAGATCATACGCGCCAGTTCGTGATTGCCCGCCTTCCACTCCTACAATTATTCAGTTTTGTTTGTTACGATTTCGTATACCGTTAAATTACCACAGAACTGTCCGTACCATAACACCCCATTTGTTCCACATGCCCATATCCTTTGGATAATGTCGTTGTAGCACATTCCGGAAAAGATTACGAGCTGTTGGCACATCTTCACGCACTAATTCATTTAATGTGGGCTCTGGTCCTTGCCATTGACTTTTAATGCCCTTCAAATACTTTACATCAGGCTCCCATGGGGTCTTGCCTGACAGCTCACTAAACTTTTTCTCTACTTGGCGCGCGAAGTCTTGGCCTTCGTAAAGCGTGTCCATGAATCGAAAGCTGGAAAAATTACGCTGCAGTCTCTGATCTACTAAAGCAGCGCTAGCATGCCGATTAAGCGTCTCATGTTGTCGATATGTCCATCGTGCTGCACTATGGAGATATACTACGCTTTTCATTGTCGATTCAAGTTATGCTATTGTGTACTACACACGAATTTCCGGCGACGCGCTTGAGCCAGTCAATGTACAGAAGCTCCGATTCAAACATAATCATGCTCATTCAGTAAAAGCTTCTTTCCAAGGACTCCAACGTTTGTAAGAATCATGTCGGCTGAGGAAGTTGTGGCTGCGGTTGAGGTACCCAAGGAGTTGGGTGAGATGGAAGCTCTCAAGGAAGTTCTCAAGAAGGCGCTCATCCACGATGGCCTCAAGCGCGGTTTGCACGAGGCAGCCAAAGCTCTGGACTCTCGTCGTGCCCGCCTTTGCTGCCTGGCTCAGGACTGCGACGAACCTAGCTACAGCAAGCTTGTTCGCGCCTTGTGCGAAGAGCATGGCGTGAACCTCATTCTTGTACCATCGGGAAAGCAACTTGGCGAGTGGTGTGGTCTTTGCAAGATTGACGCTCTCGGGGAAGCCCGTAAGGTTGTATCCACGTCGTGTGCTGTCATCACGGATTTTGGTGAGGAGACTCACGCTCTTAACGTACTTCTGGACTACCTTAAACGCCAGGGTGAGAACTAATTGGTAGTTATCTGGTTTTAGCTACGTAGTGGTTGCAGATACAAAGCATTTAAGACTGGTTCCATAATGCGAAATTCTATGAAAGACGGATCCATTGCGCGCCAGTCGATGTTCTTAAACAACTTTCGTTTAAACTTGCTACACACTTTCGTTCCATTTAAAGGTTCTTTACTTAAATTATGACTCAACTTTGCAAAATAGCCTTTTTCGAAGATCGTCTTCAGTCCGAGCCCGATACCGGAGTTGACTCACTTTTTGCGCCATATATTCGAGTCGACACAACAGATCGACTGTGATGCACAACTAGCAGCACTTCCATAGATCAAGATGACATGGCTGTCATTCGGCTTGTGTTTTGGGTACATTCATTCCCAGCAGCAGCCAGAACTGCGGCAGGACTCGCAGAATACTCTGATCTTGCGAAATGTTGCTTACGGAGCCCAAGCTACACGTATGATAAGCTTATGGTGAAAGGCATTTTGGTGCTCAAGCAGTGCGTTAATCCATCATCGTTCATGCGGTGACTTGTCTAGAAACCGACGTTGCTTAGCTCGATTCAAAGGAGGCATTTGGATCTCGGAATTGTGACCATGTACGTCGCGCATCGTAGAAGCTCGTCTATATTTATACTTTCCTTGCGCAACAGGCTCGTCCATTAGCTCATCTGGCTGCATTTGACGCATGTTCATCAAAAACGGATGTTGCATTGCTTCAGATGGAGTAATACGCGTATCCGGACTGTGTCAAAAGCAAACGCAGATAAATTAAGAAATTTGTCAAAATGACCTGTGTCATTCCAATACGTACTTAAAATCCAGCATTCGCATCACAAGGTCATGAAAAGCCGGATACTGCTCCGGGCTATGATTCACAGTGCCATACTTGTCTGCACTGGCAAGAATTTCAGCGAGCGTTTTGGTATTTTCGGGAATCTGCTCAAGCACAACAGCTCGAGTTAAGTATATAAAGCAGATATTATATCAAAGAATTTACTAACCACATCAACTCCTTTAGGAGGAACGACCTTGTGCACCTTCAGACAATAATCGACCCACTTGTTGCTGCCTTCGTTTGTCACAATTTCATCAAAATACTCTCGTCGATAAGTTGAGTTGGCGCGAGCAATTAGTTCTCGTGGTGGCATGCCCAAGACGTTAATGATTCGGTGCAGCTGATCTGCCGAGTCGTAGCCACAGAATAAAGGTTTGCCAGTGTGCATTTCCACAAGAATACAACCAAGACTCCACATATCAATAGCAGCAGTATACCGCATTCCCAGCAAAACCTCTGGAGCGCGGTAGAAGCGGCTTTGGGTGTAACGATGGATCTATGCAAGATTAAACAAAATGTACAGCTTGTCAGCTTGCACACAACTTAACAATCCAACGAACTTGAAATGTACCTGATTGCGCGAAAGACATGAGCTGCCAAAGTCGATGAGCTTTAATGAGCTGTGGCCGTGCGAGACAAGTAAAATATTTTCTGGTTTCAAGTCGCAGTGAATTACATTAACATTCGGATGCCGCATATACTCAAGCGCTTTTAAAATTTGCCGAGTGAACTTTCTCAGTAATTTGAGACTGATGCCGTGAAAATTCGTGCCACGCAGAACATCAAAAAGATTCGGGCCAAGTCGCTCAAACACCAGACATTGATGACCCTTGTGCATGAAAGCATCGGTTAATCTAACTATAGATCCAAAATTGAGAGATTAGCAAAGCCATAATGCATCGCAAAGCAACAGCCGCATTTAAAAATAGATTCCGAAACCAATTACATCGGAAAAAGGTAAAGCCTACCAATGTGATTGATTGCGTCGTGTTGTTGAGGTGAATGGAGCATTTGCAGGATACTAATCTCGGTCTGGGCTTGCTCTGTATACTGCTGCTTCTTCTGCACCACCTTAATAGCCACAAGTCGTTTAGTAGCTAGATCTTCGGCCTCAACAACTTGTCCAAACGAGCCCTTTGGTACAGAAAGCATGTGATCAGTCACCTAGGTCCTAAATCAGTATCATAGCAAGTTTTGAAACGTACTGCGCCAAGTTTCCGTCCGCGCACAAGATAGCGACCATTGTTAAACGTTTCTTCTCCAGTGTCGGAGAAAACATAATTCGCTAGAACTTTCTTCTTTTTCTTTGCCGGCACGCCTGTCGGCTTGGGGTTGTGTTTCCGATAGTAGTTCTATAACATTCGGCGGTCAGTAAGTCACATTTTGTTTCTATGGGTATTAGACTCTTGCTCGAACCACGTTAATAACGTTCAATGTGCGTAATAGTCCCCGAGTGAGCTGATGGCGAGGTGTATCCTTAAGCAGCCGCCTGGCGACGCCAGCGCCATCCGTGCTCTCCATCGCTCTGGTTGCTGTTCTGTGTCGTTTTGAGCGCCCTGAGAAAACAAAGGAGAGGCGCACTTCGCGGTTTTATTGCGAGGTTTTAACTTTTGCGAGGTTTTTCGGTGGTAGATCTATCATAGGGCATACTATGTCCTTGACTAGTCTTGTAGTTTGGTGCAAAAAGAGCTCGCGTGGAGTGAATCGTTCGTTACCTTCGCGTACATTTCATTTAGGCAGATCGACAAAATACCAATTTAAGCTTGTCTAAAAAAATCGGCGCACATTTGTTCGACGAGCGATTTCCCGCGCACACTACTATACGAACGTCCAGATTATGTCACAGACTTACGCTCCTTCTCTTGCTCTCTTGCATACCTTTGTACTTCTGAGTAATCAGGACATTTGGAAACAGTTCAAGTATTCCCCTATCGACTAAACACTTATTACTTATGACAAAACCTACTCTTTACGAATTAGAGACTCTGACTAATTTAGCCAGCGCCACTTATGGTTCACGCGTTCTCTTCGCTACTGATGAGTGGTTTGCGTCTGCCAGTCGTCTGTTGCTACCAGAACCTCCCATATTTGTTGCCAACAAATTCACGAGCTTTGGTAAGTGGATGGACGGGTGGGAATCTCGGCGCAAGCGCATTCCAGGCCACGACTGGTGTTTGCTAGCGTTGGGTCTCCGTGGCCTCGTTGACATTGTGGACATAGACACGGCTTTCTTCACCGGCAATTATGCGCCACGTGTGTCCATTCAGGCTGCTAATATCTCCCAACGTAGCAACACGTTAAGAACTCTCGCGGCTAAAGCCACTGACAAACGAGCTATGGGTGTATGTGCCACAGCTCAAGAATTTGAACTAGTAGAGAAGCTCGAGTCTGATAAATGGGTGGAGATTGTGCCGCTTACAAGACTTGGAGCTGGATATGCTGAAACACGCCACAATTTGCGCAGAGTGCACGCTTCCAAGCGAGGTCCGTGGACACATCTTCGGGTCAATGTTTTTCCGGACGGAGGCATCGCGCGGCTGCGTGTGTATGGAGAGGTGGAGATGGACTGGAATAGCATTTTGAGCTCTAACTTGATTGACCTTGTCAGTATAGCTCACGGTGGTAGAGTGATTAGCTATAGTGACGCCCATTACGGCCATCCACGCAATTTGATTGCCCCAGGACGTAGCAAATCTATGGCGGATGGATGGGAAACAGCGCGCAAGGCCTCACGCCCTGCCATTTTGACAGCTAACGTCATAACTGGGCTGCTTGAAGTAGCCGGAAAAGATTGGGTCGTCTTTAAATTGGGACACTCGGGAGTGATCCACCATGTCGAAGTAGACACAAACTTTTTTAAAGGCAACTGTCCAGAAAGCTGTATCGTTTACGGTTCTGAAATACGTCACTGTGATGAAAATCAGTTATTAAATGATACTGATGTCAAGTGGGAAGTTGTGCTGCCCCGTGTGAAGTTACTTGCTCATAAGCAGCATTTTTTTTCGATTGCAGACGGTACAGTAAACCTCATTCCTACTGGTGTCAATTATGTCAAGCTGGAAATGTTCCCTGATGGCGGAATCAGTCGTCTTCGATTGCTTGGTTATAAAAGAGAGATCTCGCGCTTGTAATTCGGAAAATACGATAGTATCTTCGTAGATTCATGGTATGTATTCTGACAGTCTGTGCGGACTTTTGTGAACTCGAATCGGTTATAATGCGTCCTTATGGCGCTTTTATAAGCTTCGCACGACATCTCAAAACTTTTCGCAATCTTTCGCTAATTATCAACTATTTGTCCTCAATTCCACCGGGATTTTCTTGAGCAGATCACTGGATATTTAAACAATCACACATGACAGTTTCATGATGAATTTGTTGCCGATACGCCGCGGATCACATCGATGGTGTCATGGCATGCAGCTCCATGGTGATCATCCCCGCAAACTTAAATTAAAAAATTGTATTAATCGATTCTTGTGCGTTGACTGTCCAGTTCATGGTGTAGTTATCGATTCTTTTGGACGGGATTTCTGAGCGCAGCGATCTTTTCATAATGGTGAGTTTTTATACAAAATTATGCGTACATAAAAAGGTAATTTTGTTGGTGTTTTTTGCGTAGACGAAATCTTCGCGGGCTGGTGCGATTCGTCGGCCCCGGGCGGCGTCAACATAAATCAAGCTCAATACTAGTCACAATGTAGCAAGTTGCTATCTCGAACCCCCTGGTGCAGAGATGCCATATCGTTTTTTTTAAAGCTTGAAGGCTCGAGAGTTTACAGCCTTATCGCTATAATTCCTACATATAGATTTTGAAGTAACAGATCGATTAAGCAGAGTTTATTGCCTAAGAGGCTCTCGGCTCCATATCTAGTGGAAACTTGCTTACCCGACCTCTGTGCGTTTTTTTACACGGACTCTGGAGTAATATATCCTCTGTACAAAACACACGGTAACCTTGATGCACTTATAGTCAATCCCACGACCTAGGCGTGAAAGCATTGCTTACTGCAGCGGGGCTGCCGTAGCTCTTTGCTTAGATGAAGCTTAGCTAAGGTTACCGACCTTCCGTTCTTTACAAGAACCAGTACGATTGTAGCGGATCGCAATCCGCTACTTTCATGTACTAAAAACCTTAACCAAGGCAAACAAACATTTATGTTTAAAATTCAAACTGTTTTTGTTCGCTTTCGTTGCGGCAAAGCCGTAAGAGGCACACCACTGTGTGATTACACTAACTTGTGTAATACACACGTATGTACGGACGCACAAGATCGTGCGACCCGCCGTGTCATACAAGGGTACGTGTAACTCCGTAACATTTACTGTGCGAAGAGGGAACATAATATCTGTCCCAAGGACAATAGACCATCCTAGCAAGCGTTGCCTTTCTTTGATTCCAATGAAATCGAGAAAGTGGCGGCCAAAGGGTTGCAAGCGCTAATCGCCTGGGAGATCACAAGCTTTGAGACTGCGCTGGTGGATCAAGTTTAGGCGGACAAACCCGGCGACGAGTGAAAGAACATGTTGGGTCCCACCGTGAGGCCACTATTGTTGAGCCGGCCTTCAAAGGCAAATCTTTCTCTGAATTTGAATTGTTTAAATGGTCATGAATTCGGCCTTGTCGGCCTTACTCCAAATGAAACCACAGCGCGTCGCACTTTCGATCTCGAGGCTAGAAATATAAGCGAAAATGGGCACTCATGTGTAATAACTCTGTAGAAGAGGCGTTCTCAGCTTAGGACAATATAAAGCAACATATTTCGCGAAGGTCCGCACCGCCTAACCAAGCGTATCGGGCTCGTTTGAAGCTCTCGTCCGCCCGTCAAGGAAGGCGATCACGGGCGAGCTCAGTCCAGGATTTAAAAAAATGGTTTTCGCAAATGCGTCTAACCCTGCTCCGCTGGTTGTAACGGTTCGAGGATCTCCAAACGGGTGCGACTAGCTCCGAGACCTTGTACGTCGAACATACCTCTTTCGAGATAGCGGTTTGCGTCGCATTCTATATGACCTACAGCCTTCATGCCGCAAGGGCAAATGTATTGCTAGAGAATGTAAGCTCTACAAGTGCGCTAAAGAGGATGAAATCCAATGAAGCTACTGAAAAAGGAAGATATCTATAAGCTGCTGAGCAGCTCCGCGGTACTCGTAGATGTTTCCTCGATGATAATACAAAGCTTTGCGCCATTTAGGCCCCCTTCGTTCTCAGCAAACACGATCGAGGATTCGTCTTCCATGTATGGTCATCTGAGGTCCTCTGACGAAGCCCTGGCGGAGAAGCGTCATATCCCACCAGGCGCAAAGCTTTTGCCTGGGGAAACATTTTGTTTATTGCAACTTGATGTTGTCATGCAATGCGACCTAGCATTAGAAGAAGCGATTATTGGATCTCACAGCCTAAGAATATCGGTCGTTGATATCAGCGTCTCGGGCTGTGTGAAGCCGATAAAAGCCCTGATAAATTCTGGCGTGTCGTATAGACGAGATATGCAGCGGGGCTGCCGTAGCTTTTTCGCTTAGAGGAAGCTTGGAAAAGGTCAGTGACCTTCGTTTTATGCCGACAACTAGAACGAGTGTCCGCTTAACTACAACCTTAACCCGAGGCTAAAAAACTTTTCCGTTTAATATAGATTTTTTTCCGGTTTCATTTGTGGAAAAGCCGCCTATATCTGGATCTTATGGTTTTTATATCTATATAGCAAAACCTAGTTATAAATAAATCTACTGACTGTTCCAGCAACGTACTGACTTGTTGTTTAAGTGTAGCCACACAATTGTGTGGTCACGCCATTTTGTGTGACCCAACCCCTTCAAACCAGGGCATGTGAAACCCCGTTACACTCTCCCTCATCAAGTGAACACCTTTAGCCCACATTCAACTGTTGCCTCGAGCGAGGGAACAAGGCTCGCACGTCTAAGACTTCACAACATCTCATTAGGACCTTTATCACGAATTCTCTGCTCTATGATCCCTGTGTCGAGGGTACGGACGACACCCAGCCTCCCTGGTTCCGAGAACGCCCGCGGGTAGAACCGTTCTTCGTCTCCTGCACGCGGTGCAACTCCAGACAGCACTTTAAAGGGAGCGCAGCCCAAAACTCACGGTAACCGAGTTTCGCGCAGCGCATTGTCAGCAACAGGGTTACACGACCAATGACATAGACGTTGTCTACCTTCGACCGCGCACCGCGCCTGCTCTGGGCGATGGATTTTCTCGTCGAGGATTTGGCGAAAGTCGACTTCGAAATGGATACTTCTTTCCCAGGATGAAAAGAAGAAGAAGGCGAGGTGCCCAGTGGCGCGACGTGAGCCTGCTCGAATCCTGGAAACGCCGTGTCCGTTCCCCGAACTCGCGACTTCCGGATGACCTCGACGAGGCACAGAAGCAGCAGCTGGATTTTGTCCGCAGGGCTGCTCTCATGCGCGTGCATCCACGGTCGGTCCTTGACCCTCGTGTGGAATACGGCTTCCGCTCGGAGGATCCCGCTAGTGAAGCGAAAGACGCGATCACGCGATTGATAGGCGTCTATAAGTCTGGTCCCGGCCACTACACAAGCCGAGCTTGATCAGCCGAACGCTTTGCGAGCTCGCTTTTTGGTACCACAAGAGATCCCAACGGATCGGTACCGCGCTTGACTTCAAGTTCGAAAAAGAGGCGCTCTTGTATCCGCAAGTCGGATTATTCCTGTCGTGATTGCCCCTAGCAAAACCGCTGCAGATGATGAGAAGCTCTTCTAGAGATGGGTGCAGTGGCAACGTAAACCTTTCTCGCTGTCTACCTGGCAGTGAAGCCACAAGGAAGTGGATATTAAGATCCGCTACTCTAGTTCTGGATCTAAGTATAAAGTGAAAGTCACCGACCTTAAACAAGCTTCCTCTAAGCGAAAGAGCTATGGCAGCCCCGCTGCACTTGATAGCTCTTGTAGTCAACCTACGCCTGAGTCGTTACGACTGACCCTCTGTGAGGATGAAGCAGATCTCCTATTTGCCCAGAGCACGCAGGACGGGCTAAAAAAGCTGATGTATATGTTGGCCTTGAGGACATGCAAAACCTCGCTTCGCAAGAACCTGGAGCGATTAGCGCGCGTCTAGAGGTGTTTTCAAGCTATTGAAATGCGCTCTGCTAGAGCATTTACAGCAGAAGATGTCGGTGACGGATGACTCCCCCTACCCAAGCAGCTCATGGTGAGTGTTAAGACCTTTGAGGACAAGGATGAAGAGAATTTACAGGGTCCTGGGTGAGAGAGGTCGAGATGGCCATGGCGTCCGCCATTCTCCAGACCGAGCAACAGCGTGTCTCGAAGCTCGGGGTCGGGCGCGGGAATGGGCACTGACGTGCGACACCTCGATCGAAGCGTCATATTCCTCCTGGACGAAGCTGAAGCTGCAACTTTCACGAGTGTTCTTGCCGCCTTACCAGGCATATCGCGTGTAATTGCGTTTCCTTGCCGCCCGACAGGATAAAAAGGACTTAGTGCAAGTGTTACGTACTCTCATTGCCGGTATGGCAGCCGATCCTCTTACCAAGGTTACAGTGAATGTGATATTGAAAGCCGAATTCAACATAAGTTGACACGAAATGGTTGGAAATCATACTCAATCAGCTCGTCGGGCGGGCCCGAGTCGATGGATCTCAGCTATGCTGAGGACGAGGAAGCAGAACTCCGAGCTCCCGAGCAGCGTTTGAACACCTGATGGTGTTTTGTCTGTAAAGGCACATGTCCCCTTCGGATTGGTTGTCTCCTGCGCAAGGCGCATCAAGGTCCATCGGAACTACGTCACGCTACTCACCAGTCATCTGGTCTGTCGCGGGGTAACGACAACACTCAGTAGGCGCGGGGCAGCATACTAGGAGAGCTGTGTTACTTTTAGCCTTAAGGACGTATAGTTCATTGGGGCCCAGATTTGAAGAGCTTCGTGCATTTGAAAATTGAATCTGCATGCAAGCTGGGCTTGCTGGTTGTGGAAGCGAGCTTTGATAAGTCATGGAAGATTCTGATGGACTCTAAGGCGTCGGGCAATTATTTTCGACGCTCCACGGTCGAAGGAAGTCAGCTGTATGTCGCGGTTGGGTGACATCGTCACTGTTCTTTTAGCGACGGGGACAAGTGTCACGGTGCCGAAGGTCCCTGTGGTCCTCGGTGTCCAGCTCCTTGACTTTGATAGCGTGAAACGCTGCTTAGTATTAGCCTTGGATTCAACGTATGACCTCATCCTTGGTATAGCATAGTTGGAACACCATGAGCCATCAATCGATTGAAGGTCGAAAACCTTGGGCGCTACGCGCACATTTCCTGGTGGAGCTTTGGTGAGTCATGAACCCACCTCTGCTAGGAGGCAAAAACGCTATTGGCGCGGGCATTGGACCGATTTGGTCAACGTGCTGGAGATCGGAGTATCCAAGTTGGTGAACACCAAAGGTGCATTGTAGAGGAGTTCCGAGCATGGCTCGCGAGCTGAACGTGGAGCGGCGCGTTACCCACTGAGCGCTGCTCAAATATCGGCGCAGTCGCTGCATGCCATGCGTGACATGGCCGGGGCATCAAGGGCGGGGCCCCAGTGATGCGCGTGTAGTGGCAAGTAATCCACTGAGCACTGCTCATGTTTCGAAGCTGTCGCTGCATGCCACGAGTGGCAAGGTCGGACGAGATCCGAGATATTGAGGGCGAGGCCCCAGTGATGTGTGTGGAGTGGCACGTAATCCACTGAGCACCACCCACGTTTCGAAGCAAATGCTGCATGCCACGAGTCGCATGGTCGGATGAGGTTCGAGGCATCTTGAGTGTGACGCCATTGACGCCTTTTCCGTGCGAAGCACGAGGCGGGAATAGTGCGTGTGAGCAAGCCCCCCCATTCGACACCCAGGTTTTGTG